GGAGGAGGGGAGGGGGGGGAGAGAGGAGCGAGCAGCGAGCAGCGAGGAGAGAGGAAGGGGGAGGGAGGAGAGAGGAGAGAGGAGAGAGGAGAGAGGAGGAGGAGGAGGAGGAGGAGGGGGAGGGAGGAGAGATGCAAGGGAGGAGGGAGGAGGGGGGCGAGTGAGAGGCGAGAGATTGGAGGGCGGAGAGTGGATGGATACGAGAAGAGGAGACAAGAGCCCTTCAGGAGGTTGTGCGGTTCTCTTGAAACCTGCTGCTTGCAGCCTTGGGCATTGACCCCAGAGACGGAGGATCCTGACGATGCAAGTAAGAAGAACACTCTTTATTGAAAATTGTTCTGAAAGAAGCTTTGCAGATGGGGAGGATGATTATGGTTTTGCAAACATTGAGGTTATCCGTGCATGGAACCTGTCCTGCTCGTTTTCAATCTTGATCGGTGCACACAGGACGATTTGGCGAGGTATGGCAAGGACGACCTGATAGCCGAAGCGTTGAGGAACGAGGCTTCCGACCTCAGGTGAGACCGCGAACGGGAGTGTGATTGATGACAAAGGAGCTGCTCTCTTTCAAGACTCTCATGTTTGACGTCAGGAAATTTGCCAAGAGGATCGAAGGAGATCTCCGCAAGGTGACTTCCTCTTGCTGGATGAGACTGCAGTCGTTAAATGAGGTTGCAGGTCGAGAGAGAGTCGATATCAGACTACGTGCAAGAGAGCGAGAATCTTGCAAAGCTGCACATGAAGATTAAGGACTGTGACGATGTGCTGGCGAACATGCAGGTAGATCGGTTCATCTCATCTGAGAAGCCCTGAGAACAATATACTGCAGTCCCTCCTTGGCAGCTTCCAATCCGACCTCGGGAAGGTATAGAGTATCCAAAGACTTTGCTGATATCTGACATGTTGCAAGGTCAACATGGAGATCAAAAGCCTGCAAGAGCGAGCGACGGACCTCTCTGTGAAGACAAACAATCGCAAGAAGGTCGAGAGTCAGCTGGTGGGTCGAATAGATAATATGCTGGTGTCTTCGGAACTTATCGAGAAGATCACCGAGACAGAGGTGGTCGTTATCGTCCCTTTCTGCCTTTTGACTTGTCGCGGTCATTCTTGTCGATGTTGGTTTCAGGTCTGTGATGCATACATGGAATATCTCCTCATGTTGAGGAAGAAAGTTAGCTTCGTAAACAGTGAGAAGGCAAAGGTAAGTTCTCACAACAACAACAACAACAACAACAACAACAACAACAACAACAACAACAACAACAACAACAACAACAACAACAACAACAACAACAACAATTGACCCAGCATGCAGGAGGTCGGTTGCAACGCGTATGTGAAGCCTGTGCTGGAGATGCTGCGTCTGAAAGCTGTTGAGAAGGTGAGGGTACGGACATGAGTTGCATCTCTAACAACCTTGTATCAGATCAGGAGTTTTTTACTCCACAAGATTTATGCTCTTGGGAAGCCCAAGACTAACTTCCAGATCTTACAGCAAGTGCGCTTAATGCAAACAGATAAGATGCAAATATCTCACACAATCTAATGCAGAACGTGCTGATGAAGTTTAAGTATCTCATCCAATTCCTACACGATCATGATCAGGTCAGTGAACAGAAACAGCTGTCCATCGCTTTCAGCTGTTGTTGTTGTTGTTGTTGAACCCTAACATTGTGGTTATTAGGAGATTTACCATGAGGTTTTGGAAGAATACATCAACACCATGGGGCAGATCTACCTGCAGCACTTCAAAGCGCACACAAGGCACCTGTGTCGATGCCAAGTGAGAATTTTGAGCGATCAGGACGGTGAAGGTGTTGATCTTCGCTGCAGGTTGAGACAATGACGATATCAGACACGATAGTTCAGGTTTCAGGACATGAGAATGATTGCTCTGTTTGTTGAGAGGCATGTGGCAGACCGAAGAAAGCATTTCGTTCTCCTCTCCCGTTGCCGTTCGCTCGCTCTTCTCCGGTGAAGAAAACAGCAGAACTTTGACGGGAGAGTCTGAATTGTTCTTGTGACATTCAGTTCCTGCACTTGGGGGCATTGCAAACATGGGTGAGTTTGAAGTTTAGGTGAACTCGTTGATGATGTTCAGGTGCACATAGGATGTGATTTGCGATGTTGATGAATTTACTGATGTTTGTTGAAATGAATATGCTGATCATACGTGCATACCTGTTGACTGAACGTTCTGATGTTTGTTTGCAGTTGGCGCAAGTCAGCCTGCTCCGATGGCAGACCGATCAAGAGATACGAGGTGACAAGAATGCTTTCAACCTCCTCCCCGTCTTGTTGTTTTCTCCATCATCTCTTTCTCCCTCCTCTTCCTCCTCACCCCGCGCTCCACAGCATCTTCTGCCTTGGAGATCGAGATTGTGTCCTCAAGGTGAAGTCGAAGTTAGCTCTGCGCCATGACGTGCTGACAGTCGGCAGGGAGACGGAGTTGACGTGTTGATGCGAGTGAGAGACGCTGAGAGAGAGAAACCATGACGATGATGTCTGTGTTGCAAGGTGGTGGCGGAGAAGGGCAAACAGCGACCGGAGGTGAGTGAATGAGGGATTAGAAAGGAGCAGGAGCAGGAGCAGGAGCAGGAGCAGGAGCAGGAGCAGGAGAGCAACAACGGGGATGATCTGCTTGCAACGAATTGTTGAAATTGTTCGATCAGGTTGTTTTCAAAGGAGCCCTGATGCTGGTCACATCAGGCGCCTCGTCCGAGCAGGTGAAGGAGGAGGAGGTGGACGAGGTGGAGAAGGAGGAAGAATATGATATGATTTAGATGTTCATTTCCGAGTTCTTTCAAAGTCCCAACGTTCTGGGGAAGATCTTCAAACCTGTGAGAAAGGGCGGGAGGTTTTGAATCAGCTCACTGTGCTCGCCAGGCGTTCTCAGTCATCGACGAATTCTTCAAGTGGACTCGTTGGGGCAGAAGACATGTACTGACATGCTGTCAGGGCCCAGATAGAGCAATGTTTCGACCCTCTAGGGCTCCTGCTCATGATCCGGGTGACTCGCTAGAGAGTTTTATGCTTCAGCTTGATAGTTTTGTTGTGTTTTCAACTTGCCGTCAGCATTTGCGATGTCGGAGGGTCGGAGGTTTGGCGGCTGATGTGTCCCCCAGGTCACTCAGGAGATGAGGAACAAACTGGAGCAGCTGCAGCTGAATAATCTCTTCCCTTTCGTGGACTCGATCATCATGATCTTGTGGCCGAGGTGAGCAGCTTCAACTGCTCCTATCGCCATAACAGGAAGTCGTCAGGTTCAAGAGCCTCCTCGACGTTCAGATGGGTAGGAAACCCTCCTCCTCCTCCTCCGCTTCCTCCTCCTCCTTCTCCTCCTCCTCCACCACCACCACCACAACCACCTTTTGCTCCTCCTCCTCCTTGGCCAGCTCCTCCTCCTTCTCCTCATCCTCATCCTCATCCTCCACCTCTTCCGCGTCCGCCTCCCCCGTCATGACCTGTCGCTGAAGGGACTGGCAGGTACCGTGAGGAGCGCGAACGCTAGCGCACTTATCAGCGAGGTGAGGAGGAGGTGATAGCGCTCGGGGTCTGATGTGCGTCAGGGATGCGAGAAGTATCCTCATCATGTTACCCGGCGGTATGCAGAGCTGACAGCCTCCCTGATCCAACTGAGGAATGCAGGTGGGCGTGTAAAGATGATGATGATGATGATGATGATGATGATGATGATGATGATGGTGATCTCATAATTGTAATTGTGATTTTGATTTGGGTGATTCGTCATTCTACTCTTGGGCAATTTTTTTTGCCCAGTTCCTCTTTCCCACCACTTACCTCCTCCTCCTCCTCCTCCTCCTCCTCCTCCTCCTCTCCCTCAACAACAACAACAACAACAACAACAACAACAACAACAACAACAACAACAACAACAACAACAACAACAACAACAACAACAACAACAACAACAACAACAACAAGCTTCTTCTCCTTCATTCTCACTGATGCCGCAGCCTCTGCTGAGATGCTCGATCACTCTCTCAACTTCATGAGAAGTGAGATCGACAGTTTGATGATCCGGTGAGACAGCAAAAGATGTGAAAGTTGCTGACGTACATGTCAGCATGTCTCATTGCTTCAAGAACTTCCTGAGACAACACATCTTCATCATCAACCAGGTCCGGGCTGACATGCTGAACCACTTGTTCCTTCCCGACCCTCATCATGTCATGATCCCAACCATTTTCATGTGTTTCCAGCGTCGATCCTGTTGCCTGATGTCAAACTCGCTTTCCTTCTACATTCTTAGTTCCCTCCTCGTCCTGCTCCTCCTCCACCACTGATGACTGATCTACAGGTCGACGCCATCATCACCACCTACGTCGACCGATCACTGCCCGCTGACTGTGAGCTGTTCCCTCCTCCTTCAGCTCGCGTGAGTTTGCGGCAGGTCAAACTTTCTTCCACCAAAAGCTGGAGTCAGAGATCAACATCTTCGTGGAGGAAGAACTTGTGGAGCGGTAGAGGAGGAGGATGGGCAAAGGGGCGGGAAGGCGGGTGGGAGAGGAAAGGCAGAAAGTGGAGAGGGAGGAGGAGGAGGAGGTGATGAAAGGGCATAGATGGATGGCAACAGTGAAGCAAGAGAAACTTTACAGGCCAAGAGCAGGAGCAGGAGCAGGGGCAGGGGCAGGGGCAGGAGCAGGGGCAGGGGCAGGGGCAGGAGCAGGAGCAGGAGCAGGAGCAGGAGTGGAAGAGAGATGAAACTGATTCGTGATGGATTCCTTAAAACAGCTTTGGCCCGATCGTCAAATTTGTACAACAGGTAAGATGAGCATGGAAGAGAATTCCTTGGGTGACCAGAGTTTTAGTTTGAGGATATGTCAGACAAGCCAGGAGCAGGAACAGGAGCAGGAGCAGGAGCAGGGGCAGGGGGGGTTTGCAAAATTCCCCTCTCGACGGCTGCTCCTCTCGTTCAGGTATTCGAATGTCAAACAATCTGCTCCTAGAATGATTTTCTTTCACCTTGTCTTCTTGATTCTCTCCTGCCAAAGTTCGTTCGCCCCTTTGCCCTCTTCGTTTCTTCCCTTTCCCTCATCCCTCTTCCTCCTCCTCCCATCCTTCACTTCCGCTACATGTTCTTAATGTGTTTTCTCAAGGGGTTTGCATCCTCTTGGAAAAAAGGCATCGAGAGTATCAACTTGGATGTGATGGTACTGCTTCCCTTCCCCTCCCTGCATCGTCTTTCTCCTCATCGTAACTCCTTCCTCAACCACGAGGGGGGGGGGATAAAGAAGGTGCTTCTTCACGTTAGCAATATCCTGGTGATTTAACCATCTGCCGAGGAAATTCCAGGGGCGGCTCTTC